TTCTTGCTCTGTTTGGTCATGTTTTGGTCTGTTTTGTCTGTCTGTCTGTTTGTGTGTGGGTGTTTGGTTGTATTTGATGGGTTTCTGGCACCCTGGGATGGGGGGAAGGGGGGGGGATAGGTGAGAATGTTGGTGAATTGGAGAGAGAGAGAAGAGGGGGAGGAGAGAAGAGAAGGGAAAGGAGAGATGAGGAAGTAAGACAAAGGGGGAAGAAGCGGTAAGAGAAGACTATACAAGAAAGGGGAAAAGCGAGAAGAGAGGAGAGGCAGGGAGAGGCGAGAGAGAGGAGAGAGAGAGAGAGAAGCAGAGAGAGAGAGAGAGAGAGAGAGAGAGAGAGAGGAGGGCGAGACGAGGGGGCCAGAAGCAGGGGGAGTTTCAGGATGAGAGAGAAAAAGGCAATGGAGAGACAAGCGGAGAGAAAGAGAAGAGAAAGTGAGAGAGAGAGAGAAAGAGAAAGAGAAAGAGCAAGAGTAAGAGAAAGAGATAAGCCAGTGATTCAAAGAGTGAGCGAGGTGAGAGAAACGGACATTCAGGAATTCCAATGGGAAAGTAGGTCCAGAAATGAGACTCTTGTATTAAACGCAGGACGTCCTGATCCGACATTAAAGGGTAACGCTGTAAACACAGTCTTGCAAGAGCACGCAAAGAAATTAAAAAATAAACACGCAACACACTCGTACATATTAATATATCTATACTCTATCTATCTTTTGTCTATATCTCTCGTCTAGTTGTATCTTATGTTTTATTTACCGGCCTCATTTTCTAGCTTTCTGTTTTAATTTTATCGTAATGTATTATAATCTTTCTTTTCTCTATTTAATCTATAGTTTTTATCTGTCTATATTTATAATCCTGTCTATCGCTATTTGTCTATCTATCACTTCCTATTTCAGTGTCTTTAGTGCTGATATATGTTCTAGGTCTCATCTTATTCTTCTATTCTCTCTCTTATCAATTCCTGTAATCTGTATGCCTTCTTGTATGTATCCTTACGTTATTCTCTCCGTATGGTATTGATATACTATTATATATATATTATATATATATTATATATCTATTATTACTTATATATAGTATATATATATATATATATCTATCTCTCCTCTTCCTCCTCCTTCCTTTCTCCCACTCTTCTCTTTTCCCGTTTATGATGATATTCTCTCAGCGTGCGTTCTCGACTTTGACAGCTGAATTTCCCCCTCGGTGTATATTGTTCGCCTCGCATCGCGCTCATCGTGTTCACACGGGGGATATTTCTAGGGCGGCCGACGCTGATTTGCCTGTTCAATGCTGCTGTGTTTCACTGTGGCGGGCGCTGTGGCTCTTACAATTTCTACGGGTGGGGGGGGGCCGTCTGCGGGTTGGTTTGCTTTGTTTGGTTTGTTTGTGGTTCGTCGGTTTGGACTTGTTTTTTTTTTCCTCTCTCTCTTCTTTTTTCTCTCCTAGCTATTATCTCCTATTTCTTTTTCCCCTTGTCTTCTGTTTCTCTTTTCTCACTTTCTCCCGATTTTCTTTCCTTCCCCTCCCTCCAAATTTTCCATTTTCCCTCCCAAACTTTCGCTTCTTCCCCTCCTACCTTGTCTTCTGTGTCCTTTCTTTCGCTTCTTTCCTGTTCTTTGTCCGTCTGTTCTTGTGTTTCCATAGTGAGGCGGTTTTGTGGTCGATCAGTCAGTCGGTCGTCGGTTTCAGTCTGTCGGTCGGATCATCAGTCCGGTCAGTCAGTCTGTCGTGTGTTCAGTTTCAGTCGTCGGTCGGTCAGTCAGTTCGATCTCGTCTCGGTTAGTCAGTAATCTATTGGTCAGTCAGTCAGTCTATCGTCAGTCGGTCGTCAGTCAGTCGATCGATCGGTTAGTCCAGTCAGTCTATTGGTTTTCAGTCAATCAGTCAGTCCGAGTCTATCGGTCAGTTCGGTCGGTCATGTCAGTCGATCGATCGTTTAGTAGTCTTTCAGTCTATTTTGTTCCTTGGTCATTCAGTTGTCAGTCAGTCTATCGTCAGTCGGTCCGGTCAGTCAGTCGATCGGTCGGTGTCGTCCAGTCTATTGGTCAGCCAGTCAGTCAGTCATAGTGTTGTCACTGTCAGTTCAGCTGTCTATTATTTATGTATCACCAAGGCGCTGTAAAGGTGAGAAAGGGGAAGAGGGGAAAGGAATGAATAAAGAAGGAGGAGGGAGGAAGAGGGAGCGAGGGTGGGAAGGAAGGAGAGAAGGAAGGAAGGAGGGAGGGAGGGTGGAAAGGGTGGGTGGTTGGCGTAAGGGAAAGAGGGAGCGAGGGTGGAAGGACAGGCAGAAGGAAGAAGGGAGGGAGGGAGGGAGGGGGTGGGGTGGGGGGAGAGGGAGCGAGGGGTGGAAGGAAGGGAGAAAGTAAGAGAGGAAGGAAGGGAGGGAAGGGACGGGAGGAGGGAGGGGGGAGGTTGGGGGCGAGGGAATGGCGAGGGAGGTGTGGGTGGGGAGGGGGGTGGGAGGAGGAAGAAAAGGAGGGTAGGGAGGGAGGGATTGGGAAAGAGGGAGCGAGGGGTGGGGGGAAAGAAGGAAGGAAGGAGGGAGGGATAGGGAGGGAGCTCGAGAGGTGGAAGAAAGGAAATGATGGATGGAGGTAGGGTGGTGAGGGAGGGAGGGAGGAGGGAGGAGGGAGGGCGGGAGGCGAGGGAGGGAGGAGGGAAGGGAGGGAGGAGGGAGGTTGAGGAAGGAAGGAGGAGGGGTGAAGGAAGGGAAAGAAGAAGGAAGAGGAGAGGGAGCCAGGCGAGGGAGGGAGGGGCCGGCGGGCGAGTCTCGAGTCTGCGTCGGCCGGACGACGGAGCCGGCGAGGGGAAGCCTTGCGTCGACCGCGATGGCGACGACATCCGATCCCGGGGTTTAATCCTTCTCGCCTTTTCCTCTTCCTCATCCTTATCCTTCCTTCTGTCTTCTTTTTTTTTCCTTCTCTTTCTTCTTCTTCTTCCGCTTCTCCTTCGCTTCTCTTATTCCGCTTCGTCTTTCTTTGCCTTCTTCTTCCTCCCTTCTTCCGTTCTATTTTTACCTCTTTCTCCTTCCTTTTCCTTTTACCTTCTTCCCCTTTCTGTTTGAGATGTTCTATCTCTCCTTCCCTCCTTCCTTCTTCTTCTTCTTAACTGACTGAAACTCGTCTTCCCATCCTCACCCTCTCCTCTCCTCCTCTTCGCCCATCTTTTCTCTCCTTCCTTTCCTCCGCCATATTCCTCCCTTCCATCTCTGCTCCTCTTCCGTCTTCCTCCTTCCTCCTGCCTCCTTCCCTCTCCTCCCTCTCTCCTTCCTTCTTCTCCCCTTCTCCTCCTCCCCTTCCTTCTCCCTGCCTTAACTTAACACTGAATCCTCTCCCTCCTACCTCACCCTCCCCCTCCCCTCCCTTCCCCGCATCTATCGCGTATTGAACTCCTCGATCCCAGCTGATCGGGCTCGGTCGGGCTTCCTTTCCTAATCCTGAGCTTTGCCTCGCTTTTTTTTTTGTTTGTTTTATTGTTTTTATTGATTTATTTTTGTTTGGTTTTGTTTTATTTTATTGATTTATTATTTTTTGTTTTATTATATTTTATTGATTTATTTTTGTTTTTGTTTTGTTTCATTATATTTTATTGATTTATGTTTGTTTTTGTTTTTTTGTTTTGTTTTTGCTTGTTTGTCTCTGTCTTTGGGGAGGGTGATTGAAGGAGAGAGAGAGAGAGAGAGAGAGAGAGAGAGAGAGAGAGAGGAGAGAGAGAGAGAGAGAGAGAGAGAGAGGACGAGAGAGAGAGAGAGAGGGGGGGGGGGGGAAGGAGGGAGGGACAGACAGGAGTAGAGAAAGAGAAAAGAGACCGAAGAGAGAAAGAGAGGAGAGAGAGACAGACAGACAGAAGGAGAGAAAGAGAGCAGAAGAGAGAGAGAGACAGAAGGAGAGAGAGAGAGAGACAGAAGGAGAGAGAGAGAGACAG